GATGGTATTATTATTTATAACTGTTTAATATCAAAGAAATTCTTTTTTTTTTTTAACTAACTACATTACCTCCATCAGTTATAATCATTCAGCATTGAAAAAAAAATGAAAAAAAAATTATTGAACTAAATTTTGAGCCTCTTTTGGAATTTTTGAAAAGTAGATTATTTGAAAGTTATCAGGCTTATATACAATTTCAATTTCTTATGATAATCCTAGTCATGATAACACTTATTGTATTCGTCATATTATATTTTGCAGGTTACTCCTACTGGTGTATTGTCACAATTGATAACTGAAGCACAATATAGAATTAATGAATTTGTTAAAGATGCATATGATATTCAAATTACAGTCAAGATACTTAAAAAACATCAACAAGCATATTATGCACATCAGAAATGAGAAAAGAAGATTAATAGCAGAGGCATGAACAGTTGAGAGAATGCAAGCCAATAATATTCATTTGTCCAATAAGATCAAAAGTCTTGAAAGCAGTTTGCAAGCACTTGATAATGAACATGTTGAACTAGCCAATAATTTTATCAGTACTAAAATGGAACTTGCACAGTGCAAAGATGAAAATGAAGATCTTTCTCAGATAGTTATAAACCCACATAGAGGTTTGGAAACTCAGTCTAAAGAAATTGAAAGTAAATTGCAAGGTCAGATGGATGATTTAATTAAAAGAAATATTGATTTGATAGAAAAGAATAATTTACTGGATGATCAACTTGAAAATTTAGAACATTGAAACAAAAATGGAGTGATTTGAAAAGAACCCTGGAATAAAAATAATATACATTTTTCATTTTTGTACTTTTAATAATATCTCCCCTAAAATAAATTCATGGATCTTACATAAGCATCATTTTATGAGTTCTCTGTTTTGTGCAAAGTTAGATGTTAAAGATTTGTTATTTCAAATTATCATTATATTCTTTAATAAATCACATGGAAAAATCAACATATTAATCAAAATAACAAAACAGCAAATCATATTGATGAACTGAAAACTCACTCCACAAGTTTATTATTTTAATTTATCAATAATTAATATTGTTGTTGTTATTAAAAACTGTATTTTGCTAATCTAGAAGAATAGGAAAAGGAGATAAAGCTGTTGTTAACATTAGGACAAGCAAATTGAAATGCATGAAACTGATGATGTTGTATTAAATTATTTGTAGCTTGGATGGAATGAATGCATGGGCTTCATTTGGTTTTGAATTATGAGAGTTGAATAAATCACTTTGGGATCTTTACTATTTGCAAATAATTGATTTGATTGTGATGCACAATATTGAATGTTGATTTGCCACTGGTGCTAGATAAGAAGAATATGTATTTACCAAACACTGTCTCTACAAACCCTGTAATCAAAATAAATTTTAATCCGTATAAAAGCTTGTGTAAAAACTGATTCTTGAAACCCATTTGATCAGGGCTTTTGCATTATATTTAGCCATCAGCCAATGAAAATATTAGATGTTAAACTAATGCTTGAGTATATAATCCTTCTCATTTTTTAACGGAACAGATCAAAGAGACTTGTTGGACCTATAAAATAAAAGTCACACAATCATAGTATTATCAGTTATTATTGTTATTCTGAAAGAATCCTCAAGTTGAATCATCAAAGTTTTCAAAGATAATAATTGTATGTTTACTAATAATTTGGAAGTGCCATCTTCAAATGCAATTTCTAGCTTTATCACAATGCTTTCATAATAATAAAAATATTTTGTAGTCCTCCATATACAAATTGTAATAATAATAATAATAATAATAGTGCACTCAATTTTCTGCTTTATTTAAGAAATTAATTGAATACTAATTATTAAACGCGATTCTGATTATTATTTATAATAGGTGAAAACAAAGATTCGATGTGACTCACATATGAGTGGACATTAAAAGTCCATTTATTTTATTTTCAAATAAAATCTCAAGGTTTCGTAAACTTGTGTTTATTTGGGGCTTCTCCTTGTAGTAAGTAGGTCATAAAGTTGCCCAAATTTTATTTGTACATAATAATAAATATTAATAATAATATATTAATATTAATGTGGCGTATTTATTTACAATTCCGAACTTTACCCGAATACACTAAAACCTCGTTTTTTTTATTTTGATTGGGTAGAAATATGACTATCTTATACTAGAAAGGGAAACTAGGTAAATATTATGATTATCAAACGCCTTTATTTTTATTTTCCAAATTGAACTTATGGTTACGTAATTGGATCTAAAAAAAGGTATAATTTTGTTGTTTAAATGAAGTCCGATTCTACTCAACCTCAACAACTCGTATTAAACCTTTTACACCTTCAAGATGAAATTTTGACGCTTATTATCGAGTATTGTGTCCTTGACGATAACAACAACAATAGTAATAATTACAACGACGACGACGAAGACGATGTTGGTGATAACAACTATAACATCAACAAACCTCATGTTCTACTTTCAAATTTATCAAAAACTTGCCATAGATTTTATAATCTTGCGAAAGATAATTTATTATGGAAAATTGTTTTTGAGCAAAGATTTGATTCTTTGGCATTAAAAAGAAGATATCAAAGAAAACAACTTTTAAATAGTGATATTAATAATTATATTAGTCATTGGAAAACTTGGTACAAAAATCGTAGTGTGTGGCTAAAAGACATTATTAATAATAACGAGGATCAACCTGATTTGTTAAAATTAAAGAGAATTCAAAAAATTTGTTCAGAAAATGGTATAAATCATTTTTTTAAAGAATTTATTATTGTTTTTTTCTTTAAACAAACCACATTTTCAATTAATTCGAATCTTTTACAAAAAACAATACAGATGGAAAAAACACAAGTCAGCTTAAATTAGCAAGAGTGGTTGACTATATTATAAGATTGATTGCCATTAATGGAACAAATTTGGCTGGACTAAATACAAGAGCTGCTGCAAATGCAACCAACTATCAAGCTGAAAGAGAGAATGGCATAAATATTGAAGGAGGATTAACTAGATTAGAAGTGGGAGCAGAAATGGAAAGGGGAAAAGGTGGTGTCAATGATGGTGTTAACGATTATGAAGGTGGTGATAATGAAGGGAGAGAAGATAATGATAAGGAAGATAATATTGTTGATGTTATGAATTTTATTGATAACATTTTTAATGGTGATGTTGATGATGTTAATCTTTTTTATAAATATAATAAATATAATCATAAGATATCAAAATTTGCACTTTATATTCTTTCAATGATGTTGTCATGGGGTAAGTATAACTTCTATATTCTCTAACATGATAACTTGTATCTATAGTTATTTTTGTTTATTAATTTATTAAATTTTAATTTGTTTATTTAACAACAAAGATCCAAATATTGCTACTAAAATAAGATATCATAAGAACGATGAAGGTTTAAATCTTTGGAAAATCATTACTTCATCAGTGAATAAAGATATAAGTTTTGAAATTAATGAAAATTTAAATATCTTTTATCCACCACGTGGCCGTATTTTGAACTATAGTTTGGAGAAGGCGTTGAAAACACATATTTATTTCCGTACAAAACTTTTCACGACTGATCTTTCAACACTAATATATGATTATATTGAACCACCAAAAATTAGACCAAATAGTAAATTATTTGATGGTCTGTATGGATTAAATGGAGAAGGAGTCAAAAAAAATTTTCCTTACGATAAAGGTAGTTTGGATGGAAAATGGGCAGGATATTATGCTTATAAAAGATTTATTCATGATGATGATCTTGTTGAGGAAGAGATGGATAGAGATGATTTATCAGATAGAGTTAATTACGATGGATCGATGAAAATGAATTTGAATTTTACTGAAGTTAAAAATGAAATAATTCATAAACAGGAACAAGAACAAATAATTGTAATGTATTTTAATGGTCGTGGTACTGATTATATCGGAGAATATATTATTTATGATGGAAAAATCACATCGAGAGCAAAATTGAGTTTTCACAAAAAATATATCAATACAAATCAAAATCCATGGATATATGATGGAGTATTAACACAAATGGGAATGTTGGGTGATTGGGGAGAACATAGTTATGTGGGTGGTAAGTTTTGGATATGGAAATCTTAGTTGATAACAATATATTTGTTGTGATAGTAGATCTGTTCAATTTTTATGCAAAAAAGAATTAATTAACAAACTCAACATCTCAATGCCACTCACTGGCTGGAAGAGGTTTGCAAAACAAAGTTGTCAAAATTGAACAGGCCTAATATCGGGTGTGATTTTATTTTATTAGTGTAATTTTGGTAATATATGTATTTTAAGTTATAATTTTATTTATAAACTTATTTATTTTTTAAATAAAACCCAGTAAAATAACTTGTTGAACATATATCTAATTATTTTGCACAAATTCCCTGATCAAAAGAGGATTCCCATTGTATCTGTAGTATTATGTATAAATGGTACCGCGTAAAATTCTTTCGCCGGCTAATGAGCTAACTAATCATGAAACATTTTGAATTTAATGTCATTTTATCAATCATTATTATCAATATCACCAGAAATATGGGAACTTGTGTTTAAAATTTGTTAATTATTGTAATAAACCAATAAAATAATTGACTCATGAAATATCTCAAACCATATCAGCCGATTTGGTTTTTTAGGCCTTTTTTCAAACCTTATGTCTTATTGTGTCTCGATGTTAAACACGAGTATTTTTAATGTGTAAACTGGTCGGTAGAATGATAATTACCCTAAAACAAATTATTTGCTCCGCTAAAAAAACTAATTTACTATCCATCAACCCGTCAAACCAATGGCCCCACCTCAAAACCAATGGGTTTTTGCTATTATAAAGTATTCATAACGTATGATCATACCGTACTGGATTTTGGAGTTCAAACAAAATCAGCGCATATGCAACAGAGAAGTAAATATTCCAACATTCTAAAATGTAACAGGCCTTTAATTCTCAGATTTAATTTAATTTAAATCATTTGATCACTTTAGAAATAATTTGAAAATAATTCTACACAGAAGGTTTAAGGAATACATTTAATTAGAATAAATTAAGATTTCAAAGAAATTGGAGAACTACGCTCATCTACCATAAATGGGGTATACTGTAACAAAACTACCAAGAATTTTAGGGATCAAAATTTAGCAATGTGATCATTATTATTATTATTTTTTTATATTATTATTATTATTATTATTATTATTATTATTATTATTATTATGTAAAAAAAAATTAAGTCCAAAAATTGAAATTGTGTACATTACCATCCTAGAACTTATAAAACAGTAGTTCAACTTCATATTAAGATTATCGCTTGGCGGTATTTGTTTACCCTCGCAAAAAATATGTCAGAATAAAGGCTTCATATATTTTTATTTTTTATTATTCGATTTTGTGCATGCCGATCAAAAAATTTATGATACCGTAAAGTCTGGAAAGATAGCACCTCTACTTTAAAACAATTGAGCGTCAATATAAAAAAAATGTTACACGTGTAAAAAGAGATGCTATCTTTCCAGACTTTACGGTAATGATAAACGCGATCTTATAATTAACGCGTTTCCCTTCAGTCACAGGACATTTCCCGCCGATCTACAGATCTATAGGAGGTTGTAAAACAGTAAAATTTGGATCTGCATCATAGTAAAATTTTATAATCGAATGTCTTCACACCCTCATTTGATACCCTTGCTGTGTAGCAACCACCACCAAATTTGAGATATAATTTCTT